TTACGTTTTTTGTAGCCGACGTACGTGCTCGTGCCGGAATCAGCTGTATGTATTCTGTCGACAACGCCGCTTAAGGCGACACATCGAAAACCATTGAAGCGGGCTTACGGGCTATCGCCGCACTAACCAGAGTGAAACATAATTTCTATAAAAACTTCAAAAGCGCCTTCATAAGGTCTAAAATTGCGTAGCGCCCGCGACGATCCAGACTACTTAGAAATCGCTTAGAATCTTAAAATATTTTTTAAAAATTATTGATTTTAGTAATCAAAATAATGAGCAAGTAAATCACGAGTATTGATGTTATGATTGTATTTGAGTGGTTCCCAAACATATAGATTAAATAATTTCGTTGTATTTTCAACTATAGTGATTTTTAAGAGGTGTTTTCGCAAACAATTATGATCGAGTCAAAATTTTACAATCGTGTTTTTGAGCAAGCAAATTCAAGATAAAAAGATGAATTTACCTATATCAAAATTCCAGTTTCGTTAGTCGTGTGATACTCCTATACTATGCGATGAAAGGAGGTGATATAGAAATAAGATAGAAACGTTCGCTAGAAAGTGTGAAATGTTTAAATCATACTTAATAATATTAATATATAATTTATTATATATACATAGGTAGACCAATAACTTCTCCGTTATATTCGGATATTATACCTTCAATAAAACTGACTTACTTATCTCATATGTTTCAAATGATTGTCAGCAAAATGTACTCTTACCATTTTAAGCATGCTATTTCAAGCGAACAGACTCGACATTTGCATGCATATAGCCTCCATATAAAAACCTACATCGTAAACCAGTTTTATGGCTAGCTTTTTGTAAGTATTTACTTTAACATAGAGAAACCCTTGCAAAAGGGAATACATATATTGTAACGACTAACGTAAGTTAAAATAAGCATGGGGACAAAGGTATGTGTAAAAGGAAGGAAGACAAAGGAATTAAAAACTGAGTGTAAAATTCTGTAAGTTTATTAAACATATTTTATTAATGGTGCTTATATTGCTATACCTACAGTTATCCGTTTTTAAATTTCATGATATTTCCTTTCACTACAGTAACTTAAAAAATATTATATAGAATTTTTACCGTTTTAATTGCGATAATGCACGCAGATTTTTTACAAATTGTAAAGAACTTTGAATTTAAATTTATCCTTGTTTTAAAAAATTTAATATGGATATTAATATTAGATTTTATACATACAGTGAGCAAAAGCAAACCACTGTTTTTTTATTTATTATTAATTGCAATCACCTTCAACTAAGGGTTGTAAGATATCTCTTATTGGTTTTGTTGTCCATATTTCCTTTCCAGTCTATCCTTCATTCTAAAATATGGGACTCAATATATAAAAGTGAGTAAAGACTGAGTAAAAACCACATATTTGTGCACATAGCAATACCTCGAACGAAATGATTTACGGATTGCTTGTGGTAACTATCGCTAGTTGAACAACCTGGGGACGGTGGACGGAGCCAGGAGAATGTTATGATCGTCGAGGCGCGCTCACGGTTCCACAACTAGCGGTGGTTGCCCACAGCAACGCGGGAAAAGCCGTAGCATTAATATTAAGGAATATAGCATTTATTGTTAAACAAATGATATTGTGACTATGGAATAACTCTCGCAATAAAGGCACCGACCAACTGGCGATAGTTAACATAGATTTAGGATATAGAAATTAATCAATAACAAATTGTAGAATAAGTATTATGTGTAAAGTATATTCCCTTGTATAGTTCAATTTAATTTCATATATACTAAGCCCTTAGACACGATAAACAATAAACAGGGCATGTTACCGTGACGCGGCCGCGGAGCGAATGAGGCTACGCGCGCCGTGCCACGACGTTTTATATTTATAGTGCTGAGGCGGGGGGCAGGGTCCTCAGCTCAAAATTGCTGGAATAATAACGTTTTAACCTGTACTGTGTAGAAAAATTATTATATAAGTAAGCAATTGTAAAAATATAATATATTTAAGTTTGTACAGTAGTTTATAAGAAATTTACCAAATAAAGAAAGGCGCGGGGGTGAGGCAAGGGTCCGCTGGCCAGCAATGGCCGAATCATATAAAAGACGGGCCGGTCGGAACGGTCGGCAGTCGCTCTCCAGCTACAGTAAAGAAAACAACAAGAAAGAAAAGAAAAAGTTCCTCCTCACCGCTGCTTGCCTCCAGTAGTAAGCAAGACCAACGTGTTTCACTCATTTTTCGAACGGCGTTACGGCGATCCGTAATATTAATGGTCCTTCGAGAAGCCGGATTACTGGAAGAAAAAGACAATATCGGTCTTGGTATTGCCGGAAGAAAGAAGTAAACCGCAAGAACGAAAAAATATTATTGTGAATAAAAATGGTGATTACACGTAGTAACAACGGAGAATCATCGAAGCGTCGCAAGGATGAACAGATAACCCAGGGGGCCACAGAAGAGGCCTCTGGGGGCGATTCAACCGCTAGTGGTACATCCAACACCACGAGCGAAACCACAACGGTCAGCGATACAACCGCTACCTCTGCGACCGATAACACGGCCGCAACGGAAGAAACCCAGCAAGAAAAGGATCGAAGATAGCAGCCTGACGAAGCTAGGTCGCGCCGCTCCGTAGCCTCACGCAAGTGACTCCTCGCGGAGTTAGAGGCGAAAGAGCGGTTAGCCGAACTCAAGCTCGAGCAGGCTCAGTTGCAAGCAAGAACGGAATTGCAAGAAATACACGTGCAGCGATTACAAGCAGAGGTCGAAGAGGTCGGAGCAACCGATGAAGAAGATGAAGAAATAGAAGACGATTTGGCGTCAGTACGCATTAGTACATGGTTGCAAGAAAAACCTACATCGCAACCAGCGCCGCAGCCCGCGCCGCAACCCACGTCGCACTTCGCATCGCAACCCGCTCCGCAGTCTACATCGCAACCCGCATCGCAACCCGCGCCGCACTTCGCATCGCAACCCGCGCCGCAGAAAGTAGACAATGGGCAGGCGCAGTAACAAATCGACGTCGCTACGTTAGCCGCTGCTCTATCACAAGCAGTACGAAGCACAAGGGAGCCGCAAGAGCTACCTACATTCAATGGTAGCAGCAAAGAATGGCTCAGCTTCAAGACAACGTACGAAGAATCTTCAAAGTACTTCACGATGAACGAAAACATAGCGAGAATACGCCGAAGCTTAAAAGGGACAGCAAAAGAAGCCGCCGGTTGCCTACTTATAAGCCAACCAGATCCCAGCCTGATAATGGAAGCTTTGGAAAGGAGATTCGGACGACCAGAAGCGTTAATCCACTTGGAAATAGAGAAGCTGAAGCTGCTGAATAAAGTTACGGACAATCCCAGGGAGCTATGCATATTCGCAAATCGCATAGCAAAAGTAGTGGGCACCGTGGAAGCACTCAAGAAAGCGCACTATCTGCATAGTCCGGAAATGACGCGAGTTATCACAGACAAACTCACGCCCATATTAAGAAGCAAATGGTACGACTATGCAGCCAGAAAGAAAGAAGATATCCCAGAGCTTAAGAAGATATCAATGTTCTTAAACGATGAAGCGGACAAATGCAGCGCGTATGCCTTGCCGGAGTTCATAGCAGAGGACAGCGAGACGAGAGAGCGAAGACCAAGAAAAATAGAACGTGCCTTCGCCACAAGCAAGAAACAATATGAAGAACGCTGCCCTCAATGCAAACAAGAACACAAACTGCCCGATTGCAAGTCATACGCCGCTCTGTCCACTAATGACAGATGGGAAGTAGCAAAGAAGAATAAAATCTGCTACCGCTGTCTGCGAGGAAAACATCGCCGGTTGCTGTGTAAAACTCCACCGTGCGGAAAAGGCGGATGCATGATGAAACACCATAAATTGCTGCATCACGATAGAACAGCAGAGATTGAAAAGGAACCCGCTATGGAAACCGCAACATCGGCAAGGGAGGTCATCACAGCGACTCAACCGTACAAGCACCGCCGCGCTTATCTAAAGATTGCGCCCGTTACAATAAGGGGGCCGCTAAGCTGCGTCGAAACATACGCATTATTGGATGACCACGCAATGTGGATACAAGCGGTCGGCTCGGAGGTGAAACATGAGAAGAGCAAGATCGTCAGCCTTAAAATAAGAGGAAAGTACGCGCAAGAAGAACACAACATAGAAGCAGCGCGTACAGTAGAACGGTTGGACTTCGCGCCAGAATCCGTGAATGAAAATCACTTAGAGAATTGCCAACATCTGTGGGATATGAAAGAAGATATCACCTACGAACGCGCCTCACCGAAAATACTAATCGGACAAGATAACTGGCACCTCATAGTGTCTAGAAAACTGCGCGTCGGTTGTCGAGACCAACCAGTCGCATCACACACCAACCTGGGCTGGGTTCTGCATGGTTGTCATAGCTCATTGACGTCGACGGTCACCTTCTGCGGCAGACTACATCAGAGGGAAGATACACAGCCGATAGAAGAGGAAATAAAAAATTATTTCAGATTAGAATCGCTGTGCATCGAGCCAAGAAGACCGAAAGGAGATCCCGAGCAGCGAGCTATGCAAATATTGAGGGAAACCAGCCAGAGGTCGGCGGACGGCAGATTCGAGACAGGGTTGTTGTGGAAACAAAAGGATTTCCAAATACCAAATAATTACAAGGACGTGGAAAGGCGCCTGCACGCCTTAGAGAAGAGGCTCGACCGAGACAGCAATCTCAAGCTACAGTACGAAGAACCCTCTCAAGAAACCTCTTCAACTCGGGTTACGCAGAGCGCGCGCCCATGCCACCACCGCAAGGAAGGACATGGTATCTGCCACACTTCCCAGTCATCAACCCTGCGAAACCAGACAAGCCGCCGAGATTGGTGCACGACGCCGCAGCGAAGACAGCCGGAATATGTCTCAACGATATGCTTCACTCGGGGCCCGACTTGTTACAATCATTGCCCGAAGTAATCATGAGGTTCCGACAGTATCCGTATGCAGTGAGCGCCGACATAAAAGAAATGTTCATGCAGATCAAAGTGCGCAAAGAAGATAGAGACGTTTTACGTTTCTTATGGAGAGGCAAGCGGCGGGAGGACCAACCGGAAGAATATAGGATGACATCAATCATCTTTAGAGCGACATCATCACCGTGCACAGCATTATACATCAAAAATAAAAATGCTGAAGAACATGCAGAAGCATACCCAGAAGCTGCGGTCGCCATAAAAAGAAATCACTATATGGACGACTACTTGCAGAGCTTCCACTCTGTCACGGAAGCTCAGCAAACGGTAAAAGCAGTCGATCACGTCCACAAACAAGCGGGATTCGTACTCAGCGGGTGGACATCGAACGAAGAGAAAACAATAGAAGAAATAAAGACAGAACATAAACAACACGACGCGACCGTGAGCCTGGGCGGAAAAGAAACTGAGAAGACGCTCGGCCTGCTTTGGCATGTACAAAGCGATCATATTGGATTTAATACTCACAATATGAAGATGCCTGCCGACGTAAAAGAAAAACAACGCTTGCCAACTAAACGTGAAGCGTTGAGCGTCATAATGGCTTTATTTGATCCACTGGGATTAATATCACCAGTGACCACCCCAGCGAAGAGAATATTCCAAGACACATGGCGTTACAAGGCGGACTGGGACGACCCTCTGCCCACGGAATTAAAAGAAAAATGGGAAGACTGGATTACTTCACTTAACGCCATAGAACAACTGAGAATACCGCGATGCTACGATTACAACCCGGTGTCGACGCGCCAACTACACACATTGGTCGACGCAAGCGAGGAGGCCTATGCAGCAGCCGTGTATTGGAGAACGGAGCGAGCAGACGGCAGCGTTAACGTATCATTGGCTGCCGCCAAGAGCCGCGTAACACCACTGAAGCCAGTCTCCATACCACGGCTCGAATTACAAGCAGCACTGCTGGGAGCTCGTCTCGCGCAGACCGTGGTCGATGAGCACGATGGTGATATAGCGGGCAAGACATACTGGTGCGACTCTCGTACAGCACTGGTATGGATAAGGTCGGAGCCTCGCGCGTACAAAGCTTTCGTCGCTCATCGCCTGGCGGAGATAGAAGATACGACCAAGAAGAACGAATGGCGTTGGCTACCGTCTAAAGAAAACGTGGCAGACGACGCGACCCGATCCACGCCAGAAAGATTCAACGAGTCGCACCGGTGGTTCCGAGGGCCCACGTTTCTGCAACGTCCACTAGCAGAATGGCCGCAGGAAGAGAAAACGACACAATACGACACCGGGGAAGAACGAGAAGTGTGTAACATTGCAGTTAAAAGGGTAGACTCGCCAACAACACATCTGCCACAAATAGAAAGATTTTCAAAATGGATTCGCCTCATAAGGGCGACAGCGAGAGTCCTCCTATTCATCGACATGTGCAGACCAAACAAGCACTTGGTGAAGGCTGGGCGTAAACGCAACCGAGCAAGACAAGATAGCGACCCTGGCTGGCAAAGAACAAACAAACGCAACACCCCAGCCAAGGAGAAAAAGGCAACTCCTACTGTCTCATCACTTGTAGGAATACCGGCCGCTTATCACGTAAGAGCCGAACAACTGTGGGTGCAAGCCAGTCAGCGGGAAAGCTTCACGAAGGAGCTCAAGAGGATCGCAAACGGAAGTGTTCCGGGAGGTGACGACAAATTAGGCCACCTGAGCACATACATCGATGAAGAGGGGACCCTACGCCTCAGAGGTCGAATAAAAGCAGCATCAGAAGTAGAAGAGGACACGTGCGACCCTCCCATACTAGACAGGAAGCACGCATACACTCGTCTGTACATAACCCACGTACACGAGAGGTTGCATCACAGCGGCGTGGAAACAGTCGTGAACGAATTAAGACAGAGACTGTACATAAGAAAAATACGTCCAGTGGTGAAAACTGTCGTCAAAAGCTGCCTACCGTGCCGTCTAAGGAAAGCCAAGCCTGCATCACCATCTACAGGGAACCTGCCGTCCGCACGTCTCGCTCATCATGCACGTCCGTTCACATACACCGGACTGGACTACTTCGGGCCAATAGAAGTCACAGTGGGACGACATCGTGAAAAGCGCTATGGCGCGTTATTCACCTGCATGACATACCGAGCAATACACATAGAGGTAGCCCACTCTTTAAGCGCTGACTCAGCCGTATCGGCGCTCAGACGTTTTATGAGCAGAAGAGGATGCCCAAAGGAAATATGGAGTGACAACGCTACGTTCTTCAAGGCAGCCGACAAGAAGCTGGCCGAAGCAGCACTCGCAGCCCTCGAGCATGAAACCACATGTCGACAAATTGTGTGGAAGTACATACCGCCATCAGCACCGTTCATGGGCGGCGCGTGGGAGCGAATGGTTCGCTCCGTGAAAGAAGCTCTACGCGTCACCCTCAACGAGCGCTATCCCAGTGACCAGACCTTGGTGACCCTGCTCGCCGAGGTCGAAAACACGGTCAACTCAAGACCTCTCACACACGTCTCAGTCGACCCAGGAGACTCAGAAGCCATCACGCCGAATCACATTATCATCGGTCCCAACTCGCACGTACCTGCGCCGGGACACTTCAGCGAGAGTGACGTGACGGCCCGCCAGCAGTGGAAACGAGCTCAAGCCCTGGCCGACGTGTTTTGGAGAAGGTGGGTAAAGGAATACCTGCCCCTACTCCAACACCGGCGGGAGCCCAGCAGCATAGGCGTATCACCGAAGATTGGGGACCTAGTCATCATTTGTGACTCCAATCTACCACGCAACATCTGGCCCAGGGGGAAAATCAGCAACGTGTATCCTGGCGTCGACGGAGAGGTACGAGTAGTGGACGTAACTACAAGCACGGGGCATGTACTACGAAGACCGACAAAGAAGCTCGTCGTGCTACCAGAGGGATCGCAGTGTGGCGACGGCGGGAGAATGTGCACGACGCAAACATAGCAATACCTCGAACGAAATAACTTACGGATTGCTTGTGGTAACCATCGCTAGTTGAACAACCTGGGGACGGTGGGCGGAGCCAGGAGAATGTTATGATCGTCGAGGCGCGCTCACGGTTCCACAACTAGCGGCGGTTGCCCACAGAAACGCGGGAAAAGCCGTAGCATTAATATTAAGGAATATAGCATTTATTGTTAAACAAATGATATTGTGACTATGGAATAACTCTCGCAATAAAGGCACCGACCAACTGGCGATAGTTAACATAGATTTAGGATATAGAAATTAATCAATAACAAATTGTAGAATAAGTATTATGTGTAAAGTATATTCCCTTGTATAGTTCAATTTAATTTCATATATACTAAGCCCTTAGGCACGATAAACAATAAACAGGGCATGTTACCGTGACGCGGCCGCGGAGCGAATGAGGCTACGCGCGCCGCGCCACGACGTTTTATATTTATAGTGCTGAGGCGGGGGGCAGGGTCCTCAGCTCAAAATTGCTGGAATAATAACGTTTTAACCTGTACTGTGTAGAAAAATTATTATATAAGTAAGCAATTGTAAAAATATAATATATTTAAGTTTGTACAGTAGTTTATAAGAAATTTACCAAATAAAGAAAGGCGCGGGGGTGAGGCAAGGGTCCGCTGGCCAGCAATGGCCGAATCATATAAAAGACGGGCCGGTCGGAACGGTCGGCAGTCGCTCTCCAGCTACAGTAAAGAAAACAACAAGAAAGAAAAGAAAAAGTTCCTCCTCACCGCCGCTTGCCTCCAGTAGTAAGCAAGACCAACGTGTTTCACTCATTTTTCGAACGGCGTTACGGCGATCCGTTATAATATTCGTAAATAAATTTTGAGTAAGCATAAACTGTGTGGTGGCTATGTAAGAATATCCACTATCACATATCTATAGGTAGATGGTCAGCAACATCTTCCTGATGACATCGCAAAATAATAAAAACTGCGATGTCACCAGCAGTTGGAAGACGTTAGCATGCGATAGTCATTCTACTTGATAAAAGCACCCCGGTCAGGTCGGTAAGAAGGAAGGAAAGAATATTGATTTGTCACTATTTCATTTGTACTATCCCTTATAAAATAAATAATCACACCTCCCGCTTGGAAAGAACTAACAACATATCGACCCATATGGTTGAGCATTGCGCACAGCGCATGGTTAGCAAAATGTAGCGCTAGTCGTTATTTGTGCGGTTTTTAGAAGCTATCTAATATCAACTAATAAAAACACATTAAATTTTTAAATAATCTTGATTCCATAATAGTCATTTCCAAATTTTTCTAAAGGAATAAATATTAAAATAATCTCCTTACAACGAAACCACATAAATGTGAAATAATTATTGATAACATGCATCTCCTCGTAAAGTTAGCTTTATTTTATTTTGCGATTGACACTAATAGATAGGCAATTTATTAATGAACATTTCGATCGATAAAATTTTTTCAAAAGACCTAAATTTGATTTTATTAAATTATTTTAAAATCTGGGCATTTTCACTGCCCGTGTTTTGTCGTAAAAGCCAAAATGGCGAAAATTAGTTTTTAACACCTTTATAAGCAGTTTCGCGCGCTCCATCGATCTGTATATTTGAAAAGATCATATTCGCAAATAAATATGTCTTATCTTAATTTATGTCTACAAATAATTACAATAAGGTTAATCTAACCACCTCCTGCTAGGATATCAAATGGTTTTGACTACAAACGGTCATCTATTGTCAGAATATCAACAGGCTCTTACTACAAACAGTAATTTATTGCTAAAATACGAGTATCAACTGAATTTTACTACAAATGGTAATCTACTGCTAATGTGAAATTAGTTTTTACTTCAATAATTCATGTAAAAGAGTATGCACTTTGGTTTACAACAAAACGTCACAATTAAACCAAGTGCTGCAAAATTAATAATAATACAAAATACAGTGTTTATCAATGTTCGTTCCTTAATGCGATGAAAGTTAACAGCCTTTGGCACATTTACTACCAAGAAGTAAGCGTTAAACATATTTAATTTTTATAAGTACACATGTCGACTGCTTTAAATGCAGCATAATAGTTTATATTACAAAATTGTATTTGCAAAGACTAGCTATGGCTTATAAGGGCGGCACTGAAAATTTCGGAATTAGGAAATGACACAACATTACTATTTAAAAATGTATTTATTGCTTTTCGAAGTATTCTCCGCAAATTTGACACATTTTTCCATACGATGGAACCAATCATTGAAGCAACCATTCCATTCGGAAATTGGGGTCTCCAAAATGGCCGTTTTGTAGGCGCCCACAGCTTCTTCAGGTGATGAAAATCTCTGTCCACGCAATTTATTCTTTATTTTAGGGAAAGTATAGAAATCATTAGGGCTTAGGTCGGGGATGTACGGCGGATGGTCTAATAATTCTATGTTTTCTTGCTCTAAAAACACTTTTGTTCTGTGTGCGGTGTGAGAACTCGCATTGTCGTGATGGAGGATGATGCGGCGGTTGCAGTTCTCTTTACGGAGTTCAGAAACGACCTGTGGCAAAGAAATGCTAGCATACCATTCTGCATTAACCGTTCTTTGTCCCTCAAGAGGAATAGTCGTAACATGGCCGGTTTTGGAGACAAACGTGGCCACCATTTTTTTGCAACACTCCGTGAACGAACAATTTTTGTTGGCTTTAACTCATTTTCGAACACCCAAACTCGTGACTGGTTTTTTGTTTCAGGTTCGAACGCGTATATCCAGGATTCGTCAACTGATACGATGTTGTATACAGCATTTGAGGATGCTGCGTGGAATCTTTCGAGAGTTCTGACGCACCAAGTAACGCGAGCCGCTTTTTGCTCTTCACAGAGCGAATGCTGTATCCATCGGGAAAACAACTTTTTTACACCTAATTGTTCATGCAAGATTATTTGTAATTAACTCATGCCAATATCTAAAGTTGCCTGAATTTCGCGGTATGTCACATGTCGATCTTCTTCAATCAGCTTATGCACAGCATCAACGTTTTCTTTGGTGACTGCAGTTTTTGGACGACCTTGACGGGGATCATCACTGAGCTTGACACGTCCACGTTGAAATTCAACAAACCAGCGATAAATTGTGGTTTTGGATGGGGCTTCATCACCAAATGCAGAAATCATCCGCTCAATACACTGTTTTTGTGTTAAACCACTTCGAAAGTCATAATAAATCATCGCTCTTGAATTTTCTCGAGTCAATTCCATTTTCTCAACGACTAAACAAGTTTGACAAAACCTTGTGACAAGACCGAGAATCTTTTTTTAAATAAATGGTATTCGATTTTTAAAACCAAGGACTTTTCAATTAAAAAGATTTTAATATGCCAGGAACAGTGGAAATATTCCATTCCCGATACTTTTAGTGCAGCCTATGTACTATAGAATCTTTACGTGGTAGAGCTATGCTGCAACTATATTAGTAGTGTATAGTTGTAGCACAAATAGATCGGCTCGACCGAGGAAGCACAGAATAGCATGGTAACTTTTTTTTTATAGCACCTTAACGCTGCTGTGTTTCTTATCGTGAGTGTAGAGTACCGGAGACCCATTTTACTGAAAACGAGGCATTCTATCTTAGTCCTCACAGTTGACAACGCATCTGTATTTTGAATCGTAATCAAGGATAGATGTAGATATCTATGGGCCACAGCAACCACATACCATCAGCTAAACTGAGTGTTTGTTTGTTACCCTTATCATATAAAAAAAAACTCATTTTATTGGTGTACTCATTGGCGTTAACTGCAAAATACGTCCTAAGTACAACATGTAATTTGGCTTTTCAAATTATGTATTCCGTATCATTATGTAACGAAAATAGCTAAACATTTTTGTTTAACTTTACAGGTCATCCTTTAATGACATCGTTGGTATAGGAGATAAACGACACAATAAAATGTTATAGAAAAAAGTGATGTTGAAACACCTAATAAAAGACCGTACTTGTGTCTCAACAGATTATAAAATTCGAACAAACTTCCACAATATCACTATTTAATGACTTTTTCGGAAGTCCGGGTTCAACTGTATTTTTTATTTTTTGCCTATTTTTTACTGAATTACCAACTACAACATCTCAACTCCTAAATCAATCGTGGCAAATTATATTTACAGCCGTTTCCCAAGCACCACACCTAAAGTTGACAAAGCAGCACTGGTCGTACGCCTTTGCACACGCTGTATAGTACGATGCTTATTGTCTTTGACGTGATTTTCTAGCTGCAGACCCGAAGTTAACAGACCAGTAATACTGCCTCACCTCTAACATGCCTCTGTACGTGCCATAGCAGTGGACGATGTTTATTGCCATGTTTCTAGCTCTGAAACCGACGAACCACCCGGCCACCTATATATCTCTACACACACTATAGTGAACGATATATATCGCCACCCACCCACCTTTCTAGCACCGAGTGCAAACGAAGTTGCTAGCTCAACACTCTCCAACCGGTCACCTGCCTCTGTTCATGTTGTATTGAACGATGCTAACCCCAGATTTTCCAGCGTCGAAATCAAACATAGTAGTGCAACACTGGCCTACACTGGCTCACATGAGTATGCACTCTATTTATTGGCCGATTTTTTTCTCCATCTTCCTTTTACGAGATCAGAGCCTAATATTGTCAATATTGCCGTAGTGAATTCGTCAGTTTTAGAGCCATTTTACTGAATATCTGTGCATCATTTCGATTGTGAGTCAATTTTAATTTTATATTTTGTTATTACCTTGTTCAAAAGGTAATTAGTAAGTAGTATTCCGTTTAATTAATTTAACACTTTTAAATAACATGTTTATTTCTAAAATTTGTACTGCAATTACTACAGTAAATTAAAATAATTTTGATAACATTTGTCTTTTGATACATAATTCTCATCTATAAAACAATTACTGACTACTTTAACACCAAAGGCGACAGTTATAAAGTCTGAAAAATTTGTCGTTAAAGCCGGTTACAACTT